ATTGTGGTTTTGCAGTAGTTTTCAAATGTTAGTATTATTAAATCCCTATGATAAACTCCATGTCAAAAGTATGAACAACAACAAAATGTACTACTTAGAAAAACATGACTTTTAATAGAAATAGTGATTTGGAGTTAGATGAGGGCCGCGCGTTTCCTGGAGTCTGCCCGCGTTTAATTGGTCACTGTGGGCCGTCAGATGAACCCTGCCCGCTCTCTGGACTGCCCTGGATCCAGATGGTCCAGTTCCAAGTCCGGTTATAGTCCTGGTCTAAGGTTAGGGTGTTTAACATGGGCAGCAGCAGACCACAGCGTTGCCTGTGACAGAGAGAGAGCAGAGTGGAGACGGAGGCAGAGCTCCCCCTGCTGGAGACAAGAGGGTGAGACGAGTTTATCTCAAATACTGCAAATTCTGACATGGATGGAATGTAATGCAAAAATGTTTTAGTGTTTTTACCAATGTATTATGCTTTAAAAAATGTTTATTCCTGGTATGTTGTATTAAAATCTAACAAAAACAAAAAAAAAACACAAACAAAAACTGTGACTTTGAAATGACTATGTACAATTAGAAAATTCAGGCAGTCTGTGAAGTTAAATACCTTGGCCTCATTCTAGACAAAAATTTCAAATTTATCAGTCACACAAAATACTTGGTGAAGAAGATTAACTCTTTCCCCCATGAAGACGACATTTGACGACCCCCCTGTTTCCTTAATGACGACTTTTGACACCTCCGCCGTATCACTAAAGACGAGATTTGACGACCTTTAGAAATGGCTCGGTTTTTCACATTTAAACAGAGACTGTGATCGGTGGGAGGCCACTACAACCCACACTAGACTGACCAATAGGATTCAAGGATATGTTTTCGCCGATTTTTTCCGAAGTTAATCGAATTAGTGACGATTGTAGCTTCCGGAAAAAACACAACACGAAACACGTGCAATGGAAAGATCGCGGCGCTGCGGCGCACAGTTTTAGAAATAATGAGGAGCGGACGTATTTTATGGATAAGTTTAGAGAAAGTGACTTTTATAGATTTCAAAGTGATGATGTTGAAGTTGATTATAAAGTGGAAAACAGTGATAGCGACGGACTTTCGGGGAGAAGGTGAGAATGCCGCTGATGCGTCTGTGTGGAGTCCTGCGATGTCCCAACAAACTATCTGAGCTTTATACTCGATTATGAACCAAAATTGCCCTGAAATCTGGATGTTTCTCAGGCGAGTCCTTTAAAATATTTCAGTGTTTTTTTCCAAGATGCGATGTATAACAGAATCGCTACAGAAAAAACGCTTATGCGGAGCTCTGCACTCGAGAAAATAACCAAGATGACAAATACTGGACACACACTGACGGGGAAGAGTTTTATTATTATATTATTATATTATAATAAGCTAAATTAGTTGAATAAATAAAATAGTTGAAAAAGCTAAATGAGTTGAATAAGTTAAATGGAAAAAAATTAATTAGGTGCACACAGGTGTACAACAGGTAAAAACAGGTGTACACTTGGCTCTACTGTATCTGGTGATATGAAATCTGTTTAAATACTTTGACAAAGTATATATTTTTATTTTTTTATGAATATAGTACTCAGAACATGCAGATATCAGATGCTGAATGTAGTTTTTTGTTTTCGAGTTTGCACCTGACCAGGTAAACTCTCATTTTCAGTGAGCTGTTATACACCTATAAATGAGTTGAATCACATTTAAACATCCATAAATGAAGAGTTCAGAGTCTGAGGTTTCCAGAGATACAAATATGTCTGTGTTACAATTAAGTTCATGAGTGTAAAAATCATTTATAATCACTCGTGGAAGTCTGTTTTCTTTTATGCAGTTATGCTCTATGGGGTAGAACTAGTAACATATGTATGGGTTGTTCCTAGTAGGCGTCCAGGGGGGAAAGAGTTAAAACTCGTCTCAATTGCTTTCGTTTCATACGTAAAGATCTAACACTCCACACCTCTAAACTATTCATGAAGGCAATGATCTTCTCTCATCTATCTATGGCTACGTTCAGACTGCAGGGCTTAACGCTCAATTTGGATTTTTTAGTGAAATCCGATGTTTTTGCGAGGTTGTTCACATTTCCAATTAAATGTGACTTGTATGTGACTCCAGTGTGAACATTAAACAGCCCAAAAGTGTCCCACATGTGCACGGGAGACACGATGACGTCAACCTCAGCGAGCGTCTCTGTGTTTACAGAAGTTGTCCAAACATGGACGCAGCATTGAGCATCTGGAGATTTTAAAGTTCCTCTCGTACCGGAGCCAGAACATGAACAACTTACTTGTTTTAAGGAGGAGATTGAGAAGGAGAAGGACGAGGTTTTTGGTCGTGGTGTTTTGTGGGGCAGCGGCAGCGACGTCCGTTGAAAGGAACGTGTGGATGTGGAGACGGAGCCAAGAGTGGTGAGTGGTGATGTGCTTCACTTCAGTGACACGGAGTTCATTAACAATTTTCGCCTACTTCAGCGCAGAATAGTGACATTTGTGGCTTGTTGATAACGTGTAGGTGGATGAATGCGCTTTGGCCGTTCACACTGAAGTCGCATGTCAAAAGATCAGATATGTATCGGTTTTAGGAGCACATATCCAAGGCTACGTTCAGACTGCAGCTTGAAGTGACCCAAGTCCGATTTTTTGGCCCCTAGGTGACCTGTATCTGATCGATTTTTCAAATGCGACCCAGGCCACTTGGATAAAAACCATTGAGGCCAAAAAATCGTATTTGGGTCACTTCAGGCTGCAGTCTGAACGTCGCCTTATTGTATCACCTCATGGTCCCAGGCCTCTTCAACCACATTAAAACCTCTTTGTTCATTTTACAAACTGACCCTTAAGGTTCTTGACAAAAAGCCCAAACACCGGCACCACATCATATAAAGAAACATCAACTTTTTAACTTTGATCATTTTACCAGTTTTAAACATCTTCAATTCTTTTTTAAGTGTCTTGACTGCGATACACCATTACACTCAGAATTTGCCGGGACCATAAAATGTTCACACAGAGCGAACACAAGAGGCGCTACTAGTGGTAACTGTGTTGTTCCTAGGTACAGGACAAACTCTTGGTCAGTCCTCGTTCTCTTTTAACTCTTTCCCCCCTGGACGCCTACTAGGAACAACCCATACATATGTTACTAGGGCTACACCCATAGAGCATAATTGCATAAAAGAAAACAGACTTCCACGAGTGATTTCAGGGCAATTTTGGTTCATAATCAAGTATAAAGCCCGGATAGTTTGTTTGGATATCGCAAGACTCCATACAAACGCATCAGCTGTATTCTCATCTTCATAAGTTTCACTCTGTGTAAGTCCGTCGCTATCGCTGTTTTCCACTTTATAATCACCCTCATCATCACTTTGAAATCTATAAAAGTCACTTTCTCTAAACTTATCCATAAAATACGTCTGCTCATCATTATTTCTAAAACTGTGCGCCGCAGCGCCGCGATCTTTCCATTGCACGTGTTTCGTGTTGTGTTTTTTCCGGAAGCTACCATCGTCACTACTTCGATTAACTTCGGAAAAAATCGGCGAAAACATATCCTTGAATCCTAATGGTCAGTCTAGTGTGGGTTGTAGTGGCCCCACCTATCGCAGTCTCTGTTTAAATGTGAAAAACCGAGCCATTTCTAAAGGTCGTCAAATCTCGTCTTTAGTGATACAGCGGAGGTGTCAAAAGTCGTCATTAAGGAAACAGGGGGGTCGTCAAATGTCGTCTTCATGGGGGAAAGAGTTAAAGGGGCCAGTCTGTGGAACGGTTTACCAGCTCATTTAAAACTGGAAACCAACAACAACAAATTTAAAAGGAAATTTTAATTATTGTATGTTTCCAATCAAAAATGCATCCATATATATTTTATCTGTACGTAACTTATGTGTCTTGTATTCTCTGTTTTTATGCGTGTAGTTTATATTTTTATATGGACAGGTGTTGAAAACTTGCACTCAAAGCAATGCATCTGGCTTGTCTAATGCAATTGTGATGTCCTTAATAAACATTAAAAAAAAATTTAAAAAAAGAGCAACAGAAACAGGTTCATAATTTCCTGTTTCTGTCTAAACCCACATGTATGATTCAGAGTCTGGAGTTTTGGAATAATAAATAAAGAACAGAGTAGACATTTTTCGGAGAACACAGTGTAAGAAATTGCTGTTATAAAACATGAGGATCAGAAGAGCGCTCTGCTGTTCAGTACAAACTGTGACATTGTGCTTATATCAGAGCTTTGAGGTAAACTGCTGGTGACTGCAGACACTTGACACACAATACAGTAAATCACTGTAGAATGTGATGCACTGTGGGATCCAATTTGCACCGTAGGCTGTCACGGTGAAACTGCAGGTTTACACCCACCTGTCCAGGTACTGAGTCAGCAGCAGGAGGAACCAATCACGACGCAGCGCTGAGGTTTGGGCAGAAGCCAAAGGCGCCAGCTGAACCAAAACAAACAAACAAACACAGGTGCACTTCAGTCGGAGTTAGGCTCATGTCGGTGCTTTTCTCTCATCTGGACGGAACTCAAGTTTGATTTTTCATCTTGTTCCACTGTTGTGACGCTTTGCCTAAACAGATTCAAATAGTCGTCGTGATGTTCTGTGTTTTCCGAGCTCTTTCAGTGAGAACCTTGATCATGTGTAGAACTCAAATCACACTGACACACAGATCACTCTGGCACGAGTCAGGTTAAGTCTGGGGGATATTTTGGAGAGAATTTACCAGTTTCTCCTAATTTACTGATTTAAGTATCATGTTTTTTTTAGATGAACAATGTTCCATTTTAACAATAGTAATAATAGTAATAATATTCCTGATAACAATCATGACAGTGACAGTGAAGTAATATGAAACGTCATTTGAGCTACATGCAGTGAAAAACCCTTTTTAAAGTACTTCCTCTGGAAAATACCACTAGACTATAAAGTTTTTTTTAGTAGCTAACATACTACAGAAGTCTTACTGATTTACTCTGCATAAATGACAAAGCTCAAAGCTCTAGTTTACACTCTGCTTTGTCAGAGTGAACTGTCTGCTGTTGCTGTTCACCTGCTCTGTGAGTCAGTGTCCACTTTACACTGAGTTTATTTCACTTTCCACTTATGAGGTCCTCCATGTGCTCCAGATGAAGTCAGTGTTGAATGTGCACATGATCAGTCAAACCCTCTCATTTGTGTTTTTTGTCTTTGCACACTGTTGATTCAAACTGAATACATCAAATATATGAAGCCAAATCTATGGAATTATGTAGCAAAGAAAAGTGAAATTCCTCTGAATGAGTTCAATATTTCAGATTCAGATTGCTGAAGTATATCCACCCTTTGCTTTGTTGACAGCCCCACAAACCCTTGACCTTCTCTCAGTGAGCTTCATGATGAAGTCTCCTGAAATGGTTTTCACTTGACACCTGTGCCACGTCGGGGTTCATCAGTGCAAACCACGAGTGCAAAGCAACTTGTACCGGCTGTCACATTATACTAGTGTATATTATATATAAAGAATATGAAATCTAAATTGTGTTTTGTTATTTCACACATTTCTGCAACATTCCTCATGTTCATTCAGAGTGGGGAAGTCTTCAGTGGAAATAGTCACGAAAAAAAGACAGCAGATCATTACATGAAAAATTGTCTCCAAACCTTTGACAGGTAGTGCACACATCAAATACAAGATCATATATCAGAACAATATACAGTTACAACAAAACAGTATAAAGTGCAAAGGATGAAATGGTAATAGTCTGAGTCCTAATAGGTGTTTTTCCACAAAGTGTCTTTTTAAAACCTCCTTTCTTTGTGGTGCCCACAGGGCAGAGTGTGGAGGCTTCTGAGTCACTGCTGATTCAGGTTCAGTTTGAAACCATAAAAACAGAAATGTACAGCTCTGCTCCAGAATCCACTGCACCCAGACCAACAAAGAGATCCACACAACACTGTAGATGTACTGTGTTTAATCCTGAACTCCTGTAAGGAGGAGGAAACCATCAAAGGGTGGAGGATATTTACAGATAAGACCAGGCTGGTGTGGCTAATAGATTGTTCAAGTCGTATGGAGACTGCATTCAGCCTGTTAACCCTCCACAGAAGACAGAAAGTCCTATGACCTGTTCTCTTCAGGCTAACGTTCATTCATAAACATTGAACTGACCTTAAAGTACTTACACTCCAGTCTTAGGGCAAGCTTGGAGTACTTTCAGAGAAAAACTTCAAACTCAGAAGTGTATTGCAGAACTAAAGATAACTGTTTCCCAGAATGAAGAAGACGTGGTCTATTATTTAGTTTAATAGAGTCTTATTTTCAGTCCAAGGTTTGATCTTGAACTGAAAAAATCTATTCAAATTACTGATCATATTTGAGTAATAAACAGTCCACTTCAGCGAGCACAGGAGCAGTGTCCTCCTCACAGCAGACCTCAGATCAGTGATCATGTTGTTTGCACTTTTACACATGCATCTGTGGCTTTTCCTCACACTTTTGGCCTTTTCATAAGAGTGAACAAAACTCACTGTTCTCAGTACGGTGGCTATAACACCTCAGGTTCTGTTGTGATCTAATCTCCTTTTAAACAAGCAAGGTTTAGTATTTGGAAGGGCATGTCATCTGTGAGTATCCAACATTCATCACAGGGCTGCCTGCCTTTTTCTGTGTTCTGTATCTTTAACCTGCAATACCAGGTCAGATTCATGTGTATAAAAGCATGTCTTTGTAAAAGGAGTGTATGAGCGAGAGCAGAGTAGAGCTGAGAGAAGTGAGCAGGCTCCTCGCTCAGTGTCCAGTCAGGCTCATGTGTCCGGACGTTCTGCACACACACTAACGTCTGCTACAACTGCTCATTAAAGGCATTTATTTATGTATTCATTAGTGTATTTGAACAGAGGCAATACACGGTAAACATTTCTGTGAATGTGTCAGTAATACAGCTACTATCCAACTTTAGTCTGTAGTTCCCAGACAGTGTAAAATGCCGCACAAAAGACTCTTGAAGTTTACGAACAGGGTTATAAATAAGATTAGGTTACGGTTAAGGAAGGGTTAAAGATTCCATATTACGCAACATTGCCTCTTGTGAGCTTTAAAGCGTGTTAGAGTCTCATCAGAAACATACCTTGTCGTGTTTTGTTTCATTCACACGTTTAAGTTACGCTTTATTTTTAGTCTGGCTACGTCAAAAACAAAAAAAACCCCACAACTCCAGGTATGTTTGTGATGAGGAAACATAAAATAGATCAGGAAATAGCTTCTGGGCTTTTTAAGACACAAAAAATCAGGTACAATGCAAAAAATTTAATTTAAAGCAGCTTGAGTGTCTGTCAGACCCAATGCATTTTGATTATTTCCTCTTAATTACCGTTAATTCTGCAGCCCTACCCCGCAGATAAGATCTAAACAGATGCATTCTTGGGTTCACGAGCTGTTTGCCTGTCCCTTATACACTCTGTGGGGCTGGTGTGCTTTACAGTGCAGTGCAATAGAGTTCAGACCAAACCTGTTTCTTCACTCGAAAACGCGCTCCAACCTGCAGAGCCACTGTCTCACGCTCCCACACAGGGACCGTCAGCTGAGTTCACCGCAGCTCGGAAAGCTACAACTGCAGCCGCACCACCCATGACATGTAAGTGTTTCTGTATATTTGAACACGATCTTTAGTTCATCTATATTGTCTGTTGTGTATAAATGTACGCGGTGCATGTTTGGTTGGTTTGACACAAGTTAGTAGCTGGTTAGTAAACAAACGGTTGGTGTAGTAGGAGCGTGCCTATGTTCCCACAGCCCTACAGTAGGTTCCCTTAGATTTATATTCCCTCTTTTCTAAGGTTGCGCATTTCCTTTATCATCAGTTTGCATCAGATTTTTGTCCCAATTTCTCAAAATTTGGTTGTCAATTACACCCAACTTGTTATCCAGCAGCAGTGGTCTACAGATCTAATGTAGAGGTCATGGTGCAAAAGGACTCTAAGATGAAATGACTCTGAATCATCCCTTTAAGGTTCTTTCAAACCTATAGCAGTTTGTACGCACCAGAAGTTCCATTTGAACCAAAAGCTCTTAGTTCGGTTTGTTTTTGTTGGTGTGAAAGCTTCAGTTGCGCTCAGATCCGCTCTAAATCAAGCCGAGAAGACCGAGACCACCTCTTTTTTGGAGATCTCGGTCCGCTTGACTCCGGTGTGATCCCTCTGGTACAAACACAAAGTCAGGTCCAAACCATAGACAGTAGGTCAAAAACAAACTATTCAAAATGCATCATAAGCCGGGGTTGGGTCTTGACGTCCGTAGGTTTGCGACTCCGAGCTCCCCTGCCCCGGGGAGCCAGAGGCCAGCTTCTTCTTGGTGGGAATAGACCTGCCTGCACCATCCGTACCCCACAGAGAGGCTCCCTGGGAAGGCCACTGGGTGAGACGGTTGCATTCGACCTCACTTCCAAGAGGTCTGACGTGCGGGAGAGCCTCAGCGTCCCAGAGCAACGTGCAGTCGAGCCCGCTGTGCGCAGGAGCCTTGGAAATACGTCAATCGGACCAATTTTGGTTAATTTGCCAGTTTGAAAGGACCACACTGGAGTCTATAGGCTATAGACTACTTAAAAACAATTTTATTCCCTGTTGCAGACCAAATAATCGAACTAGCAGTGTGAAAGCGCCCTAAATGTGGTATAAAAATAAAATGACTTGACTTAGAGTTCCTGTTACTTCAGTATTTATTTATTTTCTATTTTAGACACAAAAATCATTCAGTCCATAGTTAAAAAGAAAACCTGGAGACAAGAAAACATACGAAGCACCCAAATTAGTCCATAAAGTTCATTAAAAAGTGTGGAGGACTGGTCAAAGTCTTTATGATGGAGTTTTGGACAGTCAGTAAAAGTATTCCTCAAGTAATAGTGTCTGAAAAGTGCTCAAATACTGTAGAGGTAGAGTGGTCCTCAGTATTATTGACTAAAGGAACTGAACATGAGTTAAACATGTTCAAATCAAACAGAACTTTTACTGCAATAACTTTTTTTATTGCAGTGCTGATTTAGTCTGAATGACCAAAATACTGAACATCATCACTCATGTATTTGTGGTGTTTTTTGATTCTCTAGACCAGGGGTGTCAAACTCATTTTGGTCCGGGGGCCGTATCCAACCGACTTTGATCCTAAAGGGGCCGGATCAGAAAACTCATGTCATATAAACCCCAAAAATAACAATAATTTCAAATATTTGTGCAGAGAAACACAAATCTATTACAGAAATCTTTTTTAATTCATGAACTCTTTCTTATTATAATATTATAATATTATGAACAACCTGAAACTTGAAGAAAAATTCAATTTCAACACAATGTTTTAACATGAACTTGTATGCAAACAGGAAGTCAATTTTTCTTGTAAAATCCTGCACTTGGCTCCACTTTTCTCATGTTGGACATTTTTCTGATGAGGGTGTCACGGTCAACAGTCAAAACGATCGTCCTTTAAGAGCGTTTGGAAAGAGACAAGTCTTCATTTGTGCTGCTCTGGTGGGAGGGGCCACGTACAGAGACGCTGGAGACGCTGCTATGCTAAGCGGACCACAGAAAATTACCAATATTTTAATAGAAAATATGATTAAAATATTTTAGTAGAAAATCAGCTGAGGGCCAGATTAAAGGTCTTGGAGGGCCGGATCTGGCCCCCGGGCCGCATGTTTGACACCTGTGCTCTAGACGGTTGCTTCTCAGCCTTGGGGAGATTTTCGTTTGGTCGTGTGCAGAAAAGAAAGAGAAAGAGCGTCTGGACTCTCTTTGAAACCGTCCTGTCCCTCCACGTCGAGACAAAACAGACAAAACACCTGCTTATTCTAAGAGTCTTAAGGGTTTTTTTAAGAGATAAGACGTGCTCGGCTCAGCGCACTTTCCCTCTTACCTCCTCTCTTCAGCTCGTCCACGTCCATTAAAAAGGACGTGTGTTGAAATACAATATCGTTATTATTTAGTAGTAGTAGTAGTAGTAGTAGTAGTAGTAGTAGTATTTTATATATTCTTCTTCTCGACAAACTCCTCGGTGAAAGTGGGTCATGGTGATCAAAGTACATGAGTGTGTCTGCTGCTGTGGATGGGCTCATTCATAATTCAGCTCCTCCGTGGACGCGCACACACACACACACACACACACACACACACACACACACACACACACACACATGACGTACTGGACAGAGTCTGGACAGGTTCTGGACATGTGTCACTGATGGGACGCTTAAAGTGACAATCTGCAGAGCCCGGGCAGAGGCAGAGTGAGAGCTGCTCTTGGGAGGAGGATCAGCTCAGACGTGTGCAGGATTTACGAACGTAAACGAGAACGCAAACGTAACGAGACAAAATGAAAACTGCATGTGCGGTAAACAGATACATTTAAAGGTGCATCGTGTAACTTTTCTGATGGAGCGTCTGTCGGATGGTTTTCTCTGTGGAGATGTTGTCGCTTCGTCTGGAATTTTCTAGGGGTGTGCAAAAATATCGGAATATCGATAGATCGTATCGTTTAATGTGATGATACAGTATCAATATCGGGGGCTACTGTATCGATATTTCACCAAGAGTATTTTTAGGTGTGTTTTACTAAATTATTTTGTTACAGCTACAGTTTTGTTGCTTGTGGAGTGAAAAGGAAACTCATTTATGCGACACATTTGACATTTTTACTGTTTTGAGGATTAAAATGTTTGTGTTTCATATGAACTTTGCACTAGAAGTAATTTAACAAACACTTTTAGTATCACAGCCACGATTTAGCCTTTATTTTTTTATTGAACCGTATCGAATCGATTTGAAATATATCATATCGAATCGAAAGTGCAGTGTATCGAGATATGTGTCGTATCGTGGCCTGTGTATCGAGGTATGTATCGTATCGGCAACTCCTTAATGATACCCAGACCTAGAATTTTCACAGTGTGGTATTAAATCTTTTTATCGACATGGAAACCAAACCAGACCAAGTTACAGGTCAGATCTGCGGAGAGGCGACCCCGCTCACAGTCAGAATGCCTGTTTTTCTAGGGATTTTTGAGCTATAAAACCACCTGTAGTTGAATAAATGTAAGTTTGAGCTGTTTAATGTCACACTGTGGAACATTCCAGGTAGAGCAATGACATATCCATAGAAAGAATGTCCACGATATAATTATATTTGACCTGCGAGATCATGTCAAATATGTATTAGAGTTGGCCCACTGGCTACAAATAGACTATAGAGACATTATTTATTTAAATTTTAGTTTATTATTTTATATTTTGCTTGTTCTGGATTCAGTGTTTAAGCAAAACTATTATTAAACATTTATTTTAATATGAAAAGGTTTAACATTACATATTTCCAAAGAAGAGAAAACATGCAGATGTTGTTGAAATTTTTCAATCAGTGTTTACCGTATTTTCCAGACTATAAGTCGCACTTTTTGGGGGAGATTTTGTTTATAAAATCAGAGACCAGGAACCGAAATTTCATCTTAAAAGTCAAGTTCTAGTAATAACAATAGAAGAGAGAACAACAGACTGTTAACGTCACATATGAACAGTTCTTCAGATAAACTATAACATAAATAACAGAACAGAACAAGTTTAACAAACTCTCCATCTCACTCCAAATCACTAAATCCATTCAATTCTTCATCCTCTGTGTCACTTTTGAGCAACTCCGCGATCTCCAGAGGTAAACGGAGCGCCAGCATCAGTTCCAGTTAGAATTATTCTGGCCTTTCTGAATCCCGACAGTGTCACTGAAGTCCAGGCTTTGTCCATCCATCCAGTCACTTCCAGGAAAGTTTTCATGGTGCATCCTCCCGGTTTCCATGTGTTCTCCATCCCCACTTTCAGCCAGTTCCTCACAAGTTTCTCGCTCACTCCAAACTTTCTTTTTGCTGCTCAGTTACTGTTTTCGGCTGAATATTTCGCTATATTTCGAGAGTTATGTGTGGAACAGACAAACAAACAAACAAACCAACAAATAAACACACAGACAGACATTCCTTGAATTAATAGAAAGATACAAATCATTTCATTTTTATGCTGGTAGAGACAAACAGGCACTTTCTGTTTTCTATTTTCTGTTTCTATTTCTGTTGGATTTTTATTTTTTTTTGTGTGTGCATTTACATACGTGGCAATGATCCTCCTGCTAAAACCAGCCCGTCTTGTACGTCTGTAAATTTTCATCTTGTTCCTTTTCCAGGGCTCCGGTCGACATCGTGGGTTGGTCTGAGTCCTGGTTTTACTTCTGGTTTTATTTCTGGTTTTAGTCCTGGTTTAGTCCTGGTTTAGACCTGGTTTAGACCTGATTTAGACCTGGTTTAGTCCTGGTTTAGTCCTGTTTTAGTCCTAGTTTAGTCCTAATTTAGTCCTGGTTTTAGACCTGGTTTAGACCTGGTTTAGTCCTGTTTTAGTCCTGGTTTTAGTCCTGGTTTAGTCTTGGTTTTAGTCCTAGTTTAGGCCTGGTTTTAGTCCTGTTTTAGTCCTGGTTTAGACCTGGTTTTAGTCCTGGTTTTAGTCCTAGTTAAGTCCTGGTTTAGTCCTGTTTTTAGTCCTAGTTTAGACCTGGTTTATACCTGGTTTTAGTCCTAGTTAAGTCCTGGTTTAGTCCTGTTTTTAGTCCTAGTTTAGACCTGGTTTATACCTGGTTTTAGTCCTAGTTATGTCCTGGTTTAGTCCTGTTTTTAGTCCTGGTTTAGACCTGGTTTAGACCTGGTTTAGTCCTGTTTTAGACCTGGTTTAGACCTGGTTTAGTCCTGGTTTTAGTCCAGGTTTTAGTCCTACTTTAGTCCTAATTTAGTTCTGGTTTAGTCCTGTTTTTAGTCCTAGTTTAGACCTGGTTTAGACCTGGTTTTAGTCCTAGTTATGTCCTGGTTTAGTCCTGTTTTTAGTCCTGGTTTAGTCCTGGTTTAGTCCTGGTTTTAGTCCTGCTTTTAGTCCTGGTTTTAGTCCTGGTTTTAGTCCTGGTTTAGCCAAAAATGTGAAAACAGTAAAATCCCGCCATGTAATTAATCCATTTATTTCAACAAAGTAACTGCAAACAGGCACTTTCTCCTTTCTATGTTCTATTTCTATTTTTTTTTTTGTATTTTTATTTAAATTTTTGTGCATTAAACGGTACATGGTAATGATCCTCCTGCTAAAACCAGCCCGTCTTGTACGTCTGTATACTTTCATCTTGTTCCTTTTCCAGGGCTCCGGTCGACATCGTGGGTTTGGTCTGAGTCGTTCGATCAGCTCCTGCAGTGTAAAAGTAAGTTTAGATTTTATTTCACTTTTCTGACAAACACAATAGAAAACATGTACGTCCTTGAGCGTTGACTGCAGATATATTTAGACGTTTCAAACAGACGTGACAGCTGCAGTAAAACATCCTCTAATGTGTGCGTGATGATGGATATAAAACAGGGTCATTACTGTCACTCAGCTTTAACTGTGTGTTGTTTTCTTCCGTGATTCATCGTAACTCTGCACCTCTCCGTGTGTGTTATTATATTAAATTAGTCACACGTCTAAAAAGAAAGTGAGACAAAGCCTGCACTCTTACCTCCAAACTGCACTTAATGAATGACAACGTCTGGATCAGCGGATCTTCGTCAGGTCCTGCACTTGGTTTTAACTTTCTGGAATTTTACGGGCGGGTAGTAATTACACACGGCTGGGTCAGGGCTAAACCAGGACTAAACCAGGACTAAACTCGGACTTAACTCTTTCCCCCCTGGACGCCGACTAGGAACAACCCATACATATGTTACTAGTTCTACCCATAGAGCATAACTGCATAAAAGAAAACAGACTTCCACAAGTGATTATAAATGATTTTTACACTCATGAACTTAATTGTAACACAGACATATTTGTATCTCTGGAAACCTTAGACTCTGAACTCTTCATTTATGGATGTTTAAATGTGATTCAACTCATTTATAGGTGTATAACAGCTCACTGAAAATTAGAGTTTACCTGGTCAGGTGCAAACTCGAAAACAAAAAACTACATTCAGCATCTGATATCTGCATGTTCTGAGTACTATATTCATAAAAAAATAAAAAATATACTTTGTCAAAGTATTTAAACAGATTTCATATCAGCAGATACAGTAGAGCCAAGTGTGCACCTGTTTTTACCTGTTGTACACCTGTGTGCACCCAATACATTTTTTTCCATTTAACTTATTCAACTCATTTAGCTTATTCAACTTATTTTATTTGTTCAACTCATTTAACTTATTCAACTAATTTAGCTGATTATAATATAATATAATAATAATAAAAACTCTTCCCCGTCAGTGTGTGTCCAGTATTTGTCATCTTGGTTATTTTCTCGTGTGCAGAGCTCCACATAAGCGTTTTTTCTGTAGCGATTCTGTTATACATCGCATCTTGGAAAAAAAGACTGAAATATTTTAAAGGACTCGCCTGAGCAAACATCCAGATTTCAGGGCAATTTTGGTTCATAATCGAGTATAAAGCTCAGATAGTTTGTTGGGATATCGCAGGACTCCACACAGACGCATCAGCGGCGTTCTCATCTTCTCCCCGAAAGTCCGTCGCTATCGCTGTTTTCCACTTTATAATCAACTTCAACATCATCACTTTGAAATCTATAAAAGTCACTTTCTCTAAACTTATCCATAAAATACGTCCGCTCCTCATTATTTCTAAAACTGTGCGCCGCAGCGCCGCGATCTTTCCATTGCACGTGTTTCGTGTTGTGTTTTTTCCGGAAGCTACCATCGTCACTATTTCGATTAACTTCGGAAAAAATCGGCGAAAACATATCCTTGAATCCTATTGGTCAGTCTAGTGTGGGTTGTAGTGGCCTCCACCGATCACAGTCTCTGTTTAAATGTGAAAAACCGAGCCATTTCTAAAGGTCGTCAAATCACGTCTTTAGTGATACAGCGGAGGTGTCAAAAGTCGTCATTAAGGAAACAGGGGGGTCGTCAAATGTCGTCTTCATGGGGGAAAGAGTTAAGAGAGAGAGAACCCCTCCGTACGGCGCGGAGTTCTGTGCTGGTTCTTTTGTCTGCGGTCACCCAACGGTCTACAAGGGCGTACCTCCGGACCTGTCCCGACAGTGAGTCCTGGTTCAATCCTGGAATCAGTCCTTGGTTTGTCCTGGGTTAGTCCTGGTTTAGTCTTGGTTCAGTCCGTGGCGTATGCAGCACAAAAGTTTGATATAATCTCGGGTGCGGGTCTTCAAAAATGGACCCGCGCAGGACTTTGCACTGTAGGCTCCATTACGGAATAAATGAATCTTGGGTTTGTTATATAAAGAAGGAGGAAAATAACATAAGGACGACAGCAGCAATAAAATTTCAGTGTTTCCCAAACTTTTTTTTAACCATATTTTAAAAGCCACAAACCTTCTCCAACCAAGTCAATCATAATTTTTGTGTACATCACAAACTAAATGTGGATTTAACCATTATTGAACATGAATGAGGATATTTTATTGTTGACTGAGTGATCGTCTCTCTGAACAATTAGTATTACTCAAGTTTTAAACAATGAAAAACAGTCACTGAAGCAGAAATAAAAGGATCCATAAGTCGCCTATTTGGACATAAATGTAGAACATTTCTTTTTCTTTTCAACATTCAATTGAACCAACAGTAGTCACTAAAATAATTACAAAAACGTTAGAAATTATACAAAACATGTCTTAACATTTCAGCATTTCTAATGAGATAGGTGGACCTGTCTGTTTTTGTAGCGTGTTTCAGTCCAGGTGCAGGAGGAGACGCAGCAGCAGATCAGACGCAGCATTCAGTCTGTTTCTGTGCTTTGTTTTCATTTTTGTGAGTAAGAATAGAAACACTGACCCCACTAAGAACAACGTATGATAAGGACAAAATGTTTCTCGCTGACTCACTCAGTCTCTCATGTGTCAGAACTGTAGATATCAGACCTACATGCAGATCATGACAAGGCGACCCCCAAAAAAAATCTCCTGTGACCCACCTGAGGGTCGCGACCCAGACTTTAGTAAACAATGGTCTACATGACCCACACAGAGTTTCCTGGTGGAGAGTCTAAAAATGTACTGCTTTTCGGTGAAATATATTGACATAAAATGGAATATTAAGACACTAAGACATTGCAGGTTTTTGGTCAGTTTCGTCTCTTCGTCATCCACTCTGCACTGAAAGATAATTAATTAATATTTCATTTAATCAACTTGTGTCCATACATTTCTATAGGAGACCGTCATTTCAAAGGCCATTTTCTCAAAATGCATTTCCCCCACAGGGACATAAAGATGTAGCCAGGCTGGTGCCACCTAGTGACTCCACTCAATTTCATTTCTCTCCACCGACTAGGTCAGGAATATACTAGACAGTTTGCAAGAACCCTGAAAGTGCGAGTCTGGGCACCGGCCAATCAGCGAAGAGCCATACATTCAGTGTTGTCAACAATTCCCGAGATCGAGGTTTTAAAGCCGGAACAAAGAGAATGTTTGGTGAATTTTATCAAGAGGAAAGACATTATTGTCCTTCTTCCTATGGGATTTGGGAAAAGCTTAATATACCAGTTAACCCTGTTAGCGGCGCATTACATACATCATGACCAAATAGCAGCGATTGGTTAAATAAAAGAAATACCCGTCCACCGTCGAGCGAATGAATTCTAATGCTGCGAGATCCGTCTGATGAATCAGGCTAATAAAAATGAGACCTTTAAAGTAACACCTACAAACACCAATTTTTTACACTCTTGTACTTAACAAGATTTTGACCAAACATGATTTGGTTTTAACTAAAAAGAAGCTTGACAGTTGAAGTTAGAATATTAGGCAAATTTTCAGAGCTTTATTTCAGTCAAATAATGAAATAAGACATCCAAAATCCCCTCTGTACATATTTTAGAATCTAATTTTTCTACAAAATAAAGCAGATGTGCCCCAACATGGTCAGTTTCGACTGTTTTTACAAATAAAATGCTTTAATTCTATATGAAAATATGACAAGATGAAAAGCTTGTAATGCATTTTTTTTTTTTTTTTGTTTACATTTAGGTGAGTAACCAAAAAGAGAAGTTTCACATTGATATCTCTAAATGTAAGATTTTTTGTCCTATTCAACACCAGCTTTACATGTGTGACCTGTTATATTCTGGCCTCAGGTTTCTCGGTATCTTTTTTATTTCAAAGCTGGTTTCTGACGCTCTTAAATGCAGCGTGCTATAGGTGGACAGGTGGACAGGTGGACAGGTGCGGTGTCTCCTGCCAGTCACCCCGCTTCTCCGGCTCAGGTTGGACCACTTTGTACCTTCGCTTCTCTCGGCTCCAGAAGCTCGCCGGCCGTGCCTTCCACCACCTTCCACTCAAAGAAAATGTAAACAAAAGTATAATGAGCAAATCTGTGTTATAGTTTGTCCAATTATCAAAGAGAGCGGAGGAGCCGGGAGCGGGCCGGAGAACACAATACCCCTGATATCTGCGCGGAGCTGCTAACAAGGCCAAGACAAAAGGAGCAAATCACATAAAGGA